AAAAACACAAAATAAACTAAAAAAATACAAAAACAAATATTACGCTGCAATCTGTAACCATTTTTTGTACATTGTGGTAGTATACAGTCTTTCAGAAAAGTCTTTGATAATACTGTTTGTACACGAACCAACCCTTGACATGAATCCGGCGATTCGTTTTCTCTGGATGGCATTAAACGTATCCAGCCTAGCTTCTGCAAACATAGTTGACGCACTACAGTGCGGCTCCAGCCCCATTAGCTGCCTAAAGATGTTATTGTACTGGACACGAATACCATCCAGAGACCTCTTCGTGTAGCGCGTCCAGAGTTGGCACGTGTAAAAACTCTGACAATATGTCCTAAATAGATGTACCTTCGTCTGAGTGTCAGCTTTAAAAAATCTCCTGGCTATCATATTGCCCACTACTGACAGCGCTCTGCGTTGCCTATCTATGTCGGCATCGTCTTTGAAGTCTGACGTCAGTACATGGCCAAGGTACTTAAACCTCTCTACTACTTTGACTCGCTGACCTCCTATCCATACTGGTGGGACGTTTTGTGGACCTTTTCCTGCCCTAAATATTAACAGTTCTGTCTTCCTTGCATTATACACCAAGTTATGTTCTCTAGCGTATCTCTCACAAATTGTCATCAGTTTCCTTATACCTTTAATTGAGGGGCTGAGTAGGACCATATCGTCAGCATAGCTCAGGTTGTTGACATACCTGTCTCCAAGCCTAAGCCCCACCGCAGTCCCATTCAGCTCCTCAATCAAGTCATTCATGTAGATATTAAATAGGTCCGGAGAGGTCAACCCACCCTGCCTAACGCCACAGGATAGTTTATAGCTATCGGATCTAGCTGATTCCCACCTGACGCTGTTCAACTGATTAGAATACCAGTATCTAATCAGTCCAACAACTCCAGGTGCGATATTAGTTTTATCAAGTTTCTCCCATAGCAAGTCATGGTTGATGGTGTCAAAAGCACGGCTTAGATCAAGGAAACAAGTATAAACACTCGTCTCCTGTTCCACATATTGCGCTACAACTTGCTTCAGAGAGAAAATAGCCATGTCCGTTGAAACTTCACGACGAAAACCGAATTGCCTGTCATTTAATATAAGTGCGGGACCTAACTTTTTATGTAGCAGGCGCTCAAGCACCTTGGCCACAACCGTTGCCAGCGAAATGGGTCTATAATTCGACATGCTAGTAGCATCTCCAGTTTTATTTTTAACTATAGGGACAACTAATGTACGTATAAGGTCCTCAGGCAGGTATTGGTGCCTCGCACAAAGGTTGAACAGTAAAGTTAAGGTATCAGTAATATACTTTCCTGCGTATAACAGATGCTCAATACTTAAGTCATCGTGCCCAGGTGATTTCCCTCGTTTCATTGTCCTGAGAACCTCAACCACATCATCAGTCGACACCTGAAAAGCCCCCTCCTCAACACTTTTATAACAATTTGACGAAGGCACAGATACTGCTGGATTAATTAAAGTCTGCTTTACATGAAAATGCGCACTAAAGTTATTTGCAATAGCTCTCTTGTCAGATTCACCCTCCACACTAACTGGTACGCTAATTTTTGGGTTGAGCTTTTTAACTTCCTTCCAAAAACCCGCGAAGTTTTTAGACGAAGCATGATGTGATATTACATTCATTTTAATCTTCTCCTGGTTATTTTGAACATATTTCAAGGCAGATTTAAAGTCCTTACGCGCTGTACGCATTTGATCGTAATAATATCCAGAACTAGGCCTACCATATGTATTCCACTGTAAAAATGTTCGCCTAGCCTGGATGTGATACTGTCTGACATAATAATTCCAACCTGTTATATAACGTTTTCTGTTATTACTACATGTATATGTGCGTTCAGCGGCAGTTTGTAAAACTTGAATTATATTACAGTAAAGCCTGTTAATTATACTTATATGTTGTACATCATTACATAAAATATTGCACTTACATGATAAGTTATACTCCTCTGACTGATATATTAAACCTAGCTCCTCAGTACATAGTTCACAGTATTTATCACATTGTTCTTTACTCCTACAGCCCCACCTATACTTTAACTTACAATCAGTCCAACTATCTACTATCAGTCTTTTACAAATAATGCTATTAATTCTTACCTCTATTACTAAAGGTAGGTGATCCGACAGATAGGCATCATATAATACGTATACGTCACTGACCGCTGACTCGGCCGCCGCCGAGACAAGGCAGTGATCGAGCCATCGCTGCGAACCGCTTCCATCACTTACATATGTATATGTACTTCTATTTAAACGCTTAGAGTCTATACAAGTTAGCAATTCTTCACAACAATAGTCCATTAGTTCCATGTAGAAACGCGTGTCAGGATGCGCGTTAAAGTCCCCTAATACGAACACACTTTCAACATCCGCACTATCAATTACCGCACTTATATTAGCCAGACACTGTGCCATTACCGGAAAATTGTCTTCACAGTCAGTGGGCATATATACACTAAACACTAGAATATGCCGCTCCCCACGCACAAGTTTAACCGCAACAATGCGATCATTGTTACACTGCACAATCTCAGCACTAGGGAATATATTTCGATCCCACAGGAGAGCTACTCCCCCATAGGGCCGCCCCCGCACCATTCCATGTTCCGTGTTGACAGCAGATATACCATGACTGCCGAATTGTTTGTGTATCGTGTTTATCAATCCAAGATCATGAGGAAACAACCATGTTTCCTGAAGCGCTATAATATGATGACTATTGCATAACTGAATAATTTCCTGTAAAGATCTTTTGAGTGATCTACAGTTATATGAAACAAGCTTAATGGTCGAACAATCCATGTTAGTTTTTAATAAGCTAAGCGTTCGTTGTCGACCTCTTATTACCGACTTGCTTACGTTCCCAGAACTTCCTGAAAACAATGTCCGCTGGCCAGAAACGATCACCATTATCGTTCAGGAATAAGTCGACACTGTTTAATGGAACCACAACCTTGAAAGCATTAAATTCATTAATTATATTGTTTATTTTATAAACTTGCACATTAAGGTCAGTCTTATATTTAATGAAAGCCTCTATGTCCCCAGGAGTGGTTTCCTTATGTACTCTAGAAATATATAAGGATATTTTCCTTTCGGCTGCCTTAAAGTTAAATTGCTCCAAGGGCTGGGCGACACCCCTCCTATTACTAATTTTACGACGTTTGTGCTGCACCGTTGACCATTCATATTCACCTTGCTTAGAATTGTGACTAGGAATCGTTGCATTCTTAACAGCCTCCGCCATCGTATAATTCCGCTTATCAGCTGTTATCATTACGCTCGAGTCGCTGTACATAGGCGCGGATTGCATTGCACTTGTTCGGCCGCTGCCGCCCGCGCCGCCACCATCCACTCGCCGCTCGATTTTCGCTGTCTCGCTCTCACGCGACATCGGAGACGGCACGCGTTCGCTGCCACACTCTCTTTTGCGCTCCCTCTCCCCACTTCTCGCTGCCCCCGCGCCGAGCGCTTCTCTCGGCCGCGGTGATCGTTCGAAATCAATGCTTTCGGAGAATATTTCTTCTACCTCCTTATCACTAATGTTTATAGATGGTATAATAGGCAAAGTATTCGTTTTCCGTTTTAATATTTCATTAGTGTTTTCACCCTCATTCTTCGATAATGCGTCTTGAACTAAGTCTTTTAACTGCTGTATTTCAAATTTAAGTGATGCCACCTCCTCCATGGTCGTTTGCGAGGACACCTCCGAATTGTCTCTTCGTAAGTTGGCGACTTCTTTTTTAAGTATTGACATTTCCTTTAGGAATGTAGTCACATCTATATGGTCAAACGTGACCGGTGGCAATTTATTGAGATCTTTGGCCACGAAAATCGGTAGACAATCAGGGTCCGATTCTTTCACGATCTTTACTATTTCTTGCACACTCTTCTGTTGGTTACCTTCCTTTCTTCTCATAAGTTTCCGTGAGGGTGCCAACAGCTTGTAAACAAGTTGCCTGGCATTTTCAATCTCCACATCGGCAAATGCACTCATACATATTTGCACTATAGCTGTCTCGGGGAGTGTGTCCACCTTGTTACACACAAAGGCCAACAGTTCACTAATTATAACATTACATGCATTACATTTTAAATCAGTATCATTAGGGTCTCGTTGCGGAGATCGCGACATGGCTCAAGGCCGCGGCGCACGACGCGCACGCACTCGCACGTCTAGTCGCAACGGCAACGTCGCGCGGACTGATTATGTTGCCTAAAGAGATAGATAGAGGTGTGGTCTACTAATATTTGGTATTTGAGTTATTGTAATAGGAGCTCAGTCCACTGTCAAACATAATTTTTGGAGTCACTTCTATCTATAGAGGTATTATCCCTAAGGCAAGTGCTTAAAGCTCCAGATCACAGATAGGCGCCGCGAGCCGCGCGTGCCAACTGCCCATACGCTAAGTATAGTTCTGTCACTACAAATGCTTTGTAAAACGACACCGATTTTTTTTAACGGGAGATAATCATCGAATGACTTCTCCCGCCTGGTAGGGGCGGGAGGGAGTGTCAGACTCTTACTGGCTAAAAACCACTCCGTCCCTTCTCCTGGTCTTCGAGTCGGAGCCCCGGCAATCCGTTAAGTCCTCCGTAGCTCCATATCGGCATCAGCCCTATTGGGCCCCATCCGTGGTGGTCTGATGGCTCCCTGAGATGTCGCGTTGTGTTTTGTGCGCGCCGTACACTCGGTTCTGGTTCCGGTCGGTCGGCAAGCCACTCATGCTCGTCGTGCGTAGGCCCGCGCTTACGGTAGCCGGAGAAAAATGACACAGATGGCACGATATTTAAATAAAACTTAAAATTCAGTAGCCATTCAGTATTTGGGCAATAGAGTGGCAGCTGCGCCAAAACAAATTAGGGACGTCTAAGAGCTGCTTGCCTAGGACGCTCTTTAGGTTTAAACTGCCTCTGATGGTGAATGGAAATCTCTTATTTCTTCAAACCTCATTATAATTAGCCCACAGTCGCTTTTGAGTCATAATTAGATAAGGTTAAAGTTCATTATTAAACAGCCATCTACACCAGCAATAGCTAGTAGGCCCAATCGTCTTCCTCAAAAGGCTGCTTAGCTCAGGTGATCCGTCTGCTTATTTGATGGAATCAAAACCTACTCCATGTCGCATACTATACTTTCCCATGTTCTCCTTTTGTCGAAGGTTATCTGTGATGCTTCGACTACATTACGGGGCGAAGATTCGTATCGTGGTGGTGTGACGAAAACATCGTGTTCGGGTATAGGCGATGTTCTTGTCTACATTAAGGCGGGCGAAGATTCGTGTCGAGTTGACGCGATGCATCGTGTCAGATCGTATTGTTCAGTTTGTTGTGCGGCCGAGACGTGAGCAGTAATTTAAAAATGGAGGAAATATTGGCTTTGCATTATATGTCAGTAAATTGAATCCAACTCATTTTCGTTACTCGACTCCATTGTGTAAAAATTAAAAGCACGTCTGTCTCGCTTCAAAGTCTGGACGACACTGAATTGATGTAGATGTAGCCACCTAAGCGAATATTGGCGCGACAAATCCCTTTGATTCGCGCCAGTTTACCGACAGCTCCCTATACTACTACATCGTCTTCGCCCGAATACTACGCGATGACACGATGAACCCGGCCATATTCATGGCGTTAACACGAATATTCGCCATAGCCCGCTAAAGTAGCCGAAGCATAAGAGATCGCTATTTAGTGATAAGATCGGCCATTGTACTATCAATTTCTGAATGTATCTTCTTTATGTGTTTTATATATGGTATATAATACTATTGTATTGTATTTATGAGGGATAATTATAAAAGATTTTCATAAACATTCAATTTATCGCTTACTAATTTCACAAAAGTTCCTTTATTAGTGGACCGAGTGATCACAAATGCGACTGCCGGCTAGGGGTCTCGGGTTCCATTCTCAGGTCAGGCAAAGTATTACTGGGTTTTTTAAAATAAAATTCTCAGTAGTATTACGGAGTCTGGAATTATGTCCGATATATGGCAATAGACTAACCCCCTAATACATGGGACTCATAACATAAATAGCGAAAAGTGGATGTTACATTGTACAGTGGCATCTAGTGTCGTAACGTCCGTCATCTTTGCCAACCCCTTTAGGAATAAAAGGCGTTATGTTATGTTTTGTCCTGTATTAGTTGAGAAAGGTACTGTTACATACGCAAAGTAATAAACAAACTACAGCATTCATAATACTAGTTAGAACTGTATGATACCGTCGTTGCTATAAAATAAATATTTTTAAAGCTGACGATGGTAATGCCATTGTATGAAGAGTTAAACAATTCTCATTCCACTTTTCGATTCCATTGTTAATACTCGGTACGTCTGTTACCGTATTTTATCAGAATATCTAATATTTTATGCTTTATTTTCAAAAGCATAAAATTCAATTTTCAATGGTTTCAAGTCTTGTAATAGTAAAGATGCGATTTAATTCTTTATTTTGGTTAGCTCTGATAAACAAGGAAGGCTACAGAAAATGAAGAATGTTTTTGATATTGAAAGAGATATCAGATTAGTAATGGAGCCAGTTATGTGTTTGTAGTAGATATCTTTTCAATCGGCAGGCTACGTCACTCGACGGACTGATGGTAGATGGGCCAGGAAAGTTCTTGAGTAGAGACCTCGGACCAGAAGACGAAGCGTGAGCAGGCCTCCCGCTAAGTGGACCGACGACATCGGTTCAGGTTTTATATAAACTTAGACTTTCTTTGGGTAATAAGATTTGTTTTGTAATCTGGATTTTAACACCAAATAAACATTATTTATTAATAAAGGTCAAATTGTAAAACACTGTATTAGATCACATCGCTTATATTACAAACACTGTCTATACATAATATTAAGACACATTTCAATAAAATACACAAAAATCACACGTCAAAATCAAAAAGAGTTACCTATGGTATAAAATTACTCTTTTCTCAAAATCCACTCAGTAATGAGCAGCTAACATAGAAATAAAAGTAACGAAATAAATCACGAACATAATTTTATCTACCACTTCTGCTAGCTCCTTCTTATCTCCACAAGTTCTTGGAGTCTCTTTCTCCATCTCTTCCACATCTCCTCTTGTTATCGGAGACTGTGGTTCTTCATCTTCTTGCAATGAATACCCTCCGTTTCTATCTAATGATTTCTGAAATTTACATAAGGGATGTTAATTGAAGGTTATTATTATGGGAAAACGGATTCACCTAACACACGCACATCTTGTTAAAAGGAGTCCCCAAACACGATCACACAATGTAATCACAAATTACAAAAATGAAGGATTGTTCTTTTTTTATTATTGTTTGTCGAAATTGGTCCTTGTATACGCACAGAGTGCATATACTAAAATTAATTATTATTTTTAGATTTTATGAGGACAAGAAAACGTTACTATTCCTAATTTGATGTATAAAATTTGTAAGTATATGGAAACTAAATAAAAAATACTAGAACTACCGATCCGTACTGATGATATTTTTTGATAACTTTGATAAACAACTTAGTTTAAATTAACTATGGCGTATTTTTTCATACACAGGCCCTACAGACGACAAAAACCAAATTTTGCTGTGCAAGTAAGGACTTTATAAAACTGTAAAAAAGTAAGATTTATAATAAAGCAAAAATACTATACCGTATACGCAGGTAGACAGAAAATGGTCCTAAAAATGTATGCATTCAACATTTTCTGTACAAACGCGAAGTTACGGAACTTTTCAAATGTATCTGTTATCAGTAGAGCTTGAATCAGCAACGCTATCAGTACGCCCATTAAGACTGTTGTGTAGAGTATCACTGGAAATAAAATATGAGGATTAGTTACAATATTAGAACAAAGTCAGTCAAAGCATTTATTTCAATTGAACCATAATTTGGTACTTTGAAAAGTCAAGAAATACAAAATAAATAATAGTCTGTCAGTCAGTTCGTCAGTGAAACTAGGTGAAGCTAGGTGCTCGCTCATTCCAAAATGTAGATTCGAATGGAGAAGAACGAGCAAGAAACTCCATTCGTTATTCTTTTTAAAATGACAGGCCTCGACATTCCTCAACTTTACTATATTTTAAAAAATACTTAATGGCCTTGCTTAGTTTTTAATTAGATTTTTTTTTAGCAGCGACATAAGGATCAATAAAGTTTTCTAGATCGCCATCCAGGAAGCACAAAAGTATTTGAAATAATTTCACTATTATTTGTATTAAAGTGAAGTAAATAAATCAACTAATACATAGCCACATACGTAAGTAACTAACTAATCAAGACAATTATGTTCTTTCTTTCCTTGATAAATATTAACACGGTCGAGAGTGAGTAATTAAAAGTTATGCGATGTCAAATACTTACATATAGAAGGCATTAAATGCGAAGGTATCAAAGAGTCCACATAACAGAGCCCCATAGTAATGACGATGGTACATCCAGCGAGAAACCAAATCCTTTCCATATTTAGAGGTTCACTCCAAAACGACATTAGAACGAACATCAACAGAACTGAAACAAAGAGAAGTGAGGGTAAAACTAGTAGCTACACAAATAATACGAGTACTGTCAAAAGCAATCGCATTCGCAAAAAGTAATCGTATTTAATCAATTATCTTATTCAAATAATATTGTTATGTGTTAAACTTTTAATAACTTAATCTATTTTAGATGGTCAGAATTACGGAGGTAATAATATCATATTCATTGATATAGAATAAGAAGATATGGATACGGATATGGGTAGAATAAGAAGATATGGATACGGATATGGGATACCACAGGGTGCCATCTTGGGTCCACTATAAAAATGTTAATTAGTCAAATGATTTGGTCTATAAGGGTATAGAAATAAGATACTTTTTTCTACTTGTGAATACTTACCTAATAAAGGAGTATAGAACACAATGTTGTAAGCAGTGGCTCTTCTTTTTAATTGCAGACTAAGTATAAATCGATCACTCTGATGTGTTTCATTGTCATCGCTGACGTACACTTGGTTCCATATCGTTGGTTTTATCACCAATTGTTTTATGGACGATTCCCAAACATTTTCAATTTGTTTATCCACATCTGAAAACTATAAATGATAAGGGTAAATTAATTTTATTGGCTCTCTCTGCCATTGGCTTATACAAACGTTTGC